GATAATTTCTATCTCTTCCTTCTTGATTCCGATTTTGGAAAAAATGCCCATTACCTCGAGAATATCTGACAGCATGTTGTTGTCGTGATCTTTGAGGTTGTGAGGAAACCATTGTAGGCCCATCAAAATGTGCAGCAAATGCAGCCGGTGGAGCAACAGTAGGCTCCATGAGGTCTAAGCGTGCTTCATGGGACAATATGAGACCGTGAAGGGCATCTCTAGTCATTGTTTGATTTTGACTTTGCACTGATATAAATACTACAAGGCTTTGATATTCGGCTCCCAATCCACGAAAACTGTGAGTTTTATACTCATGATCGGAAATAATCTCGCCAATCGAAGCGAGTTGGTCTACAAGAACACTGGCTTGTTGAAGAAATTCCCGTAACTGTTTGGTTACCTTTCCGAAGAGCTTGCAGCTGCATTCTAAGATGAGTTGTTCTAGCAAGATTATGAGCAGCATAAGATGTACCAAGGAATTCCCATGCTTCTGCGGATGTGTTGAAATTTGAAAGCTGACCGACGATGGCGTCGGATGTCGTGCTAAGAATCCACCCAAGTGCGATTTGATCGCGTGTTACCCACTCGTCATATGGTGGGTTCGGAATAGTGGTGGTGGTTCCATCTGCTTTTTGCACAATTTGGCTAGGTGGACATACGGAAGATCCTTCCACAATTGGTAGTAATTTGCTTGCTCGAAGACACAGTAATAGGCGTGCCCTCCAAATAACAAAATTGTCTCCTGTGAGCTTGACTCCAATTGCTCGACAGGAGATGGAATTTGCAGGAATTCCGGTGGCTGTGGATCCAAGTACCTGGTTTGTTAAGCCAAAGATGGTACTTGAGATCGAAGCAGATGTTGAAGAAGGCGAGGATGCCATTTGAGAATAAAAGAAAGCTTTTGCTAGAAAAGCTCTTATACCATGTTAAAACGTAAAACTATATTGTAATTTTTATGAATGTTTTTGTACATCTTTATCTCTCTTTTCAGCTTCTATTTATAAGAAGTTAACGATATAAACAAATCAATAATAAATCAGAAAGAAATCAAGGAGTGATTGCAAGAGATTCGCTTAATATCAGGAGCGATTGCTGAATATCGGGAATGGTTGCTAGAGATCTGCTAAATATCAGATTCTAGATTTGATATCCTTTGACAATTTCAATAAGAGTTTTGACAAGGGATGATTGTTCAAAATGTCCCAAACGTTATTATACACCGACCGATTCAATCCCAAACCTTTCAGTTACGACAATTTAGTCCTAAACCTTTTGAAGTTTTGCCAATTTTGTCTCAACTTATTATTTGGATAATTGGCCAAAAGGACTACATTAACAAATCGTCAAAATGTTTAAAATTAAATTGGCACAATTTAAAGGATTAGAACTGGATTGGCTAACGTCCAAAAGGCTTAGGACTTTTTGAATAATTTTCCCGTTTTGACAATGTTAAGAATGAGCCCAAGCTAATTTTAACAGAGTGTCCGATCTCGTTGAACGATTGATCAATCTCCCACCGGGGTGCAACAATCACCTATCCCAAGCTGGCTGACTTCTCTTTGAACGTTCGATCAATCTCCCATCAGGTGCAACAATCACCCGTCCCAAGTCGGCCCGACTAATTGTTAGAGGATCTAATTCCATCCTCCTCCTCGAGGCGCTCCGAGAGAATGCACGAGGACGGCGATTCGAACACAGGTCCTGCACCAAGAAAACCAAGATTCAATTGCCAGTCTCGGGTCATATCTGATGTGAATACTCCCATCAGTCCTACCGGTCTTTGCCTTTATGTTGCATCCGTTCCGCCGCTTCGTTGCCCGTGTGGTCCTTTCCCTAATTTTAGTTTCTTTTAATTAATTATCATTCTAAATTTTGTTACTTTTTCCCCTCTTGAAATGTAATAGTAACATTCCGACCACAAAAAAAACAAACATGTAGTAATAACACAATTTGTGGGGACCCATTGGAAAAGTTACATATTATAATATTATAACACGTGCTGGCTAGCTACGAAATCCGACAATCTCCATATCTAACATTCCACCTAATTACACTTCAAATTTAAAACGTGGAATTGAAAGAGCGACTTTTATTTTTCAAAATTTTCTTTTCTCTTAGCATTTCCAAAAGTTCACTTTTGATATGAGTTTTACAACGAAAATCATTTAAAACATATACAAATTCGACATACATAAAGTCATCTAGAATTTTTTTATCCTGATTTCTCAAACCCACGGTGTGTATCGCCTTGCATTTTGATATTTCCGAGGAACAACCGAAAGTACTTTTCTTAAACGAAAAATCTAACGAGCCCTTTTAAAATCACAATCACGTCACGAGTTATATGTACACATCAATTTTTTATTCATTTGATTCAAGATATAACTCTAAACTATACTAACTTCTTTTCTTTCCCATAGCGATACTACATATTTGGTTCACCACTAATAATTCAACATGAAATGCATCACGTTGCAATTTGACATATATTATAGGTGGTTTTTTTGTCGTTTTTATCGATATATGTTACATTTTTAGAGCCCATTGAATGCATAGAATTTTTGTCTGTACGTTTGAATATGATATGCATTGAGAACAATAATGTATCTCCATATCATTTTATTGAGAAATTAAAGCATGGTGGCCAAAATGTGCCACCTAAGTTTTTTTAGGTGGTGGCAAATTACCTAACGATATTTTGGTTTTTAAACCTAAGCTGAGCATAATTCGGTTCAAATCGCCGTAATATGATTTGGAGAGGTGATTTAAAAATTATGTCCACCGCACCATGTTGAAATTTAATGGTTTGGTTCGGGGTAGATTTTTTCCCGAACCAAACTAAACTGCAAACTGAATTAATCTTTGTATAGTATAATTCGAATTTTTATTTTTATAGTAGGGGAGATATAAGTAGGTGAGGAAAAACAAGGAAAGGCAGAGAGGGAAAGACTCCAAAAGGGGAAGAAGAAAACTGAAAGAAAGAGACGCGAGTAGGTGAGAAAAATCATATTATTGCAGTGGGTTTCAATTTTTCATGCGAGCCGAACCGTGCTCGCACCTTGGCAACGCGATATGGGGTTGCTTTTGGGCGATAGCAGCATTGTTGCTTCGCTGCCGGCCATCCACATTCGTCGCCCCTCTCTCTAGTCAATTTCTTTTTATTTTTTAATTTCCTGTCCTAAATTGCATTAAGACATGTTATCATATTTGACTACAAAATTAATCATTCTTACCACCTATTTTTTAACATACTATATGTCACACCCCGAAATCTACCAGGATGGGAATGACACGACCGTCCTTCCACCCGAAAGGCGCAGCCTCAAACCACCCAAAAGTCCCCACGACAACGCTCTCACTCTATAGGCTACTAACCTGAAATGATTGGGAAAAGAGAGGAGTGAGCAACCACAGCTCAGTAAGCAGTGCGTATCTCTTCTAAGCAGATCGAGCAACCACTATGCATAAAGCCATACCAAAATTTCAAGAGCCAAACTCAAGATATCAAATACATATAGAATCACATAAGAGTTGCTTCATTTCATCAAAGCTTTGTACACGTCACAAATACACATTTTAATCCACCATCACAATTCAAACTATCAATGGTCAAGTCCATTGATCAATCTCTATAAAAACCACGTCAATGGTCCATTCCATTGACTAATCTCAAATCACACATCAATGGTCTATTCCATTGATAAATCTCATATCGCATCACATGTCGATAGTCCATTCCATCGACCAATCTATTGCTCAATATCTAACCATGGTCACGACACAAAACCTTGTGACAAGGCCACCAAGATTTCCCCCCTTTGCAAGGTCTCCACCTACACCCAGAAGGATATCCTAAACTGGTATGCATACCCCCAAACTCCTCAATGGGTTCACAAGCATATTAAACATCAAACAATCATCATCCAATGTCATAAATCCAATCCAGAATACAATCTCATAAACCAAACAATTAACTTTTCACAACATAGATCATCCACCATTTCTCAAATCATTCATAAACCAATTTCACAAACCAAGTATATGACATTTCACAACTCAACTCAATCACCAAAAATCCTTTTTGTAAAGTATTTCTCAAATCATTTGAGAACTCATTTCTCAAACCATAATACATTTCCAATACCCATTTCAAATCAATATATATACCTCGTTTCGCAACGTCATTCCCAAAACATATCTAAAACCTTTTACAAATACCAAAATATAGTAAATACCCGATCCATACTTTTATGCAATAAATATGTTCTTTCACAGTTCATATATATCGATTCTATTTCGCTTTCAAGACATGAGTTTCGAAATTTATAGAAGAGATAACACCACTCATCTGGAATCCCCAAAAATCAAATAACAACGCTCACTTGAACCGACGATTTCGTAATCCTATCAATTAAACGAGAATCGATGTCAAAACCAAGTAAAATACTATGATAACTACGAAATGGCTAAACAATGCTTAAACGCTAACAAGACAACTCAAAGGCGCCCACAAACTGCTCAGCCAAATCAATTATCCAAACCGCCCGCAACGCGGAACTTGAGCGAGAAATTTGATCGCACCATAAATTCCTCCACCGAACCCCGTTTCAAGCGAGCTTATAGTCAATAGAAAGCCCATTGAGAGCACTACAAGAACCCCAACTTGGCCATCCCAAAATCAAGCCGAAAACCGACGAAAAACGGCCTAAAAGCCACTGGTCGCTCACTGTTCACCTTGCGCGGCCAACTTCAAAAATTCATATTGGGCAAACCGTACGTTCAAATCAAGATCAGTAAAATCTCACGGCTCCACGACACTCTAAACTACCAATTCTATATATATACGCAGCTCAACAACTCAAAAATTGGATTAGGCGGCTTGAATATTACCCAATTCCGAAATTTGAGCCCTAACCCGAAAAATACTCCGATAGAACGAGCGAGAGGCTCGAATACTTACCGGATGTTGCGATACGAAGTAACTCCGGCTTGGCGAGTACGCATCTCTTTCTTCTTCTTCTTCTCTTCTTTCTTTCCTCTCTTTCTTTCCCGATTGTCCTGTAAGCTCTCGATCTTCTCTCTCTCTCTAAGCTGTTTTTCGTTTATATAGCTGAAGTCCACTTCTTCTTCTTCTTTTTTTATTCTTTTTGACTTGTCAACTCTTCTTTTCTTTTGTTTTTTTCTTATTTTTGGATAAAAAGTCCAAATATTACACTATACGTTTTTTATGACTGGTTTGTCCTCAAAAAACCAGCAGCGCAGTCTGAACTTGCAGCAAAACTTGGCCAAAGTCGATGTAGGGGCACGTTACAACCGATTTCAAGATGACAAGGGGCAACTTAAAATATAACGGAAACTTCGGGGGGCAAATTACAATCCCAGAAACTTAGAGGACATAATATAAAATGCGCCTGTGCATGGACTTGACATTTGCATCGTACTTAAAAACATCTTTGGAATATGTGTTATTTAATTTCTGGCGGCATTTCGGGTCGATTCTCGGGTTTCCATCCATAAGCTTGATATTTCGACTTGCCATATTCTTTTCTCAATCTAACAATTACGATCTCACACGGTTGAATGAGTTTTAATTTCTTTGACAACAAAGTTAAGCTTGCTGTTGGAATTTAGAAGAGTAAGGTGAATCGATGAACCTATCTTAAAGACTGTGATTTCCTTGACAGAATTCGTGAGCCAATGCAATTAGCTCCGATGTGGACAACTTGTGGATCATCACGTTAACGATTTCGGCAAAGAATCGATTGTGAAAAGACTACATTGGAATTTTGCGCAAAGGTATTAAGACTACATTGGAATTCCGGACAAGGCTTTAAGACTACATCGACAAAATTGGAAAGTTCAAGACCGATTTAGTAATTTTCCCATAGGTTTGGCATTAGAACAATTAATATGAAATCTCATGTTGAATATGACCACTCTTACAACAATACACCTCATGCTTGGAATTAATGTTTTTGAATTCGGTTTTGACTATAAAGAATTAGCCATGAAAACCGTACGATAAAAAACAATGCTACTGACCTTAACATAAAATCCAAAAAATTTGATAGTTACACCAAACAAAACCTGTCTGCACTTCCTCCTCCTCCGTTCAATAATCCGAACGTTAGGTTCGGCTGGCGGATTGAGCCACCGGTGACTCCACCCTACTTTCTCAGCCGCCGGAAGAGCCTGTTTTTCCCACAGGATTTTATATCAATATCACAAAGATAAAAAGAGAATCAGAAAGGAACATGGATGAATCCCCGTGCTGGAAATTGAAGGGCGTTGGAGGATTTGAGAGAAGCAGCAGCCCTCGTTTGACTGCCGGGGGAAAAGCATTCAATAAGTAATTGCACATTGGGGTTGGGGCTCCTCAAATACTAAATGTCCTTACTCGTCTCTCCACTGTCGAAAGAACTTAATTACAAGTAGACCTATCAAAATGGATCATAAGCCTATTTCTTAACTTATATATGACGGGCTGAGTTGTTGAATATGTTAGTTATATTTAAGAAATTGGTCATAAATGAGTTTAAACATAATATAGGTGTTAAATAAGTCATAAATTGGTTTATAACTTACTTAAACCCAACTCACTTTTATAACTCTCTCTTCATTCTCCCTCGCCCTCACTCTATCCCGCGCTCACTCACTCCGTTCTCATCTCAGTTTGATATGAGTTTTTCTAAATTTTGTTAAATATGAAAGTCTTTTAACAATATGGGTCGGGTCGGGTCGGGTCTGGGTTGAGTATTGGTCGGCCGGATTGGATATGGATCGTTAGATTTGTATTGCATAGAAATTGATCGGAGCGGGTTAAATAGATCTATTTGGATCGGATCATTTTCGACCTGATCCACCCATTTGAGGGATCTAATTATAAAAGAGCTTGCCAACAAGAAAATAGAAGACGTAATCAAAACAACTATGAAAGACAGACTTGACGCAAAATTAGATAGGAACTTGATAAGACTATGAGAGTTCTAAACATATAGAGCAAAGAAGAAGAAAAAAATCAAATACCCAAAAGCCATTGAATGCTGAAAACAGATGATTGGTGTTGAAGGTGGGTTGGAGGCCAACTGACCCCACACCTAACTTTCTTATCCAGTATGAACAACAACCGTGTGCTCCATTCATGGTCTGTCCCTTTCCTTCTTTGCCTTTTCACTGGGCTTTGGACACTCATCAACTCCTCATCTTCTTCTTCTTTTGGGAAGGTTTGGCACAAGGAAAAAAGAAACAAGACAAAGCCACTATTGAATTCAACGAAGTCACCCTGCTATGGGAAAGCACTAGAAGTGGGTTTGCTCCTTTCTATGTACTGTTTGTGTCTGCTTCATGATCAGTTTAGGCAGGCATATGCTCTTGAAATTATTCCTAAGTTTCTCTCGGCAGATTTAGCGCTGGCGCATAAACATGAGCAGTGAATTATTTGCGTTTCGCATGCACATAAGCTCAAGATATAAGGGAAATTTGTCCAATTAGTCATAGACTTACTGTATGTATACCAATTCAGTCCTAAACTTTTCGATTTTGCCAATTTACTCCTAGACCTTTGCGTGAAAGTACTATGCAGTGATAACTGAACCGTCATGTTAGCCATTTCCGGCAAAAATTGACCGGAAGAACCACATTGAAGTTTCATGCAAAGGTTTAGGACTTAAATTGGCAAAATTGAAAAATTTATGACTGGCTAAATAATTTTTCCCAAGATATGCCGCTCAAAACAACAAAAAGGAAAAAACTGAAGATATGAAAGAATATGTTAATAGTAAAAATTAAACATCTCAAGGAAATTAAGTGGTGCAACTATAAAATCAAATATCTCCCTTCAACCGTAGTAAAAATTAAACATCAACCAATTTCGATCAAAGGAACCAAGCTAAACCGATTCACTCACCATAAGGAACCCAAAACAACTTGCTATATTCCCAAATGAAAACATCAAAAATCAATGAACTTTGGCTGATCAATCCCGAGAAAGCCAAAAAGGACCCGGTTGCCGAAACCCGAAACGCAATCTGCCTGAATCGAAACATCAAACAGACCTGTTCACGAGGCCAGGCAGATTCTACAACACATGTCGTCGTCGTCTTCCTCCGCCGGGCACTGCTCGTTGTCGTCTAGCACAAATCTTCAACCGCTTTGCTCGTCGGCGAGCTGGGGGTGTTGGCACCGAGCTGCAAGGGAGATCGAGACAGCCGGCGTGGAAGTGACGCCCGAATTGGGCTCGGAATCGCAATTTGACTTTGGGCCTGAACTAAAAGCCCAAAACTGGAGGCCCAAAAGGTCATGAGAATAATATTTATGTAAAATTCGAAAGAGAAAAAAAAAAGAAAAATCAGATGATCGAAGAATAAAAGTAGACGATAAAACAATAGTAGAAAATACGGAGAATCTCTTAATTATTTTTAACAGTAAATCTCAACTATAATAAATTGCGATTATTTTTAGGGATTTAACTGAAGTGCCGAAGACGATGGGATACAAAGCCAAATCCGTTTTACATAAAAGGAGGAGGGGGGCTTCACTTCACTGGGGGGCCCCAAAAATCGTGAGTGAGAGCTGAGAAGGGGCCACACAATTGAACATACACGTCCATTAGAGTGAGAGGAAGCGGGAATTCAATTCTACAAGTGTGACGGCCCAAGCCAAGCGGCGGTGCGTCTGCACCACTACCCCGGACGTGCGCAGGGAAATGGGGTACCTCTCTTGTCCCGGCTTGGGGTTCTATATCTGTGTAACGCGTTTTAAAGTTGTGAGGGTCAGTGACCTCAAAGCGAATAATATTACACAGTGTAGATGCGGGGTGTTACAACAAGCATACTAGAGAGGAACACGTGTGAGGGAGAGGGAGAGGCCTCGGCTGAAGTTTTCTTGCGGCCGAGAGCCCGACCTACACTGTGCTCTTGACCCGTGCTGTTCTTTGCTTGCACTTCCCGATCGACGAAGCCACCTACTGCTGCTCTCGGCTTGATTCACCTGCTTCTTTTGCCGTCCAGCTGCGACGACTTCAGCCCGACGTCCCTGCACGACCAGACTGGCTTTGCCATCGAGCTATCTTCCAAGCGGTGGGCTGCAATCTCACTAGTTTTTCTTTAGACGATTTACTCGATTTTGTTGCAGACCTTCGATTTGATAGACACGGAGTCACCGAGGAACAGACAAGTGAAGAATTTGATTGTTGGGCTTTGAGAATCAAAGAAAATCATGACAAGAGCAACCAGATTCGGTCAAAAGTTGAGTGGCTATCAAAGCCTGTTATTGGTCAAAGTAAAAAGACCAAAGAAAATTTTCTTTGGGATCGCTAGTTTTCTGTGGAGCGCCACCGCGAGCCCACCGTGTGCCCTTTTGCAGTCGGGCGCTTGCTTTGTCACCGCCCCAATCCGCGAGCTACCACCCGCCAGTCCAAACTTGGAGAGCAAATATTCGAATAAGGTAAAAATCTCATTTAATTTGATTTTCGAGTATATTGTTTCCTTATTTGAAATATTGCAATCTTATACAAATTATTGAGTAATATTATCGTATCCAATAAGTTCCCGAATAGCCTTTAAATTTTGAATTATTTCGTAATTTCACAACGTGCATATGATCGACGGTCCGATTTCATGCCCGAAATATGACTCGCGATCGCACGGAAAATCGTCAATCCGATATCCCGCCCGAGATATGATTCGCGATTGTGCGGAAGATTGAACAATCCGATTCTCATGCCCGAGATATGATTTGTCAATCTATTGTTTCTAAATCTAAATGGATATGGATAATATTTTTTGTGATTGGGTGTCATGTTCATTGCTATTTTTTTTGGTCTTTTGTTTGAATTGAATTGATTGTCTTTCCATATAAAAAAATACAAAAATATTAGGTAAAATTTGAGTAGATAATATATTGCATGTTTAGGATAAATTTTTATTATTTTCTTAAAATAGATTAGATTCTTTTCTTAGATATTATTATTACATGTTTAAATTAAGTTAGTTTTTTATTCCGAATTTAAATTAAAAATATATAAAAAAAAATACCACATGCATGTCATATAGATTAATTGCATCATGCTTGCATGTCATCTTGCCACGTCATTCATACCTTGCCATGTGTCATTGCTCGCGTGTCATTAGAAATCGTACATCTAGGTTCATTTGCGTGCCATATTAGAGATAGTGCATTTAATTATTGTTAGAATTTGGACATTTAAATAAATCGTATATCGCATGTCATACTAGACGTAGAATGCATTGCATAAAGTTTAGTTTTCGTTAAATCAAAGAAAAACCTAAAAAAGATTTGAGTGAATTTGTATGTTAATTAGAAATCATATTAGGGTTGTTAATGTGATTTTCTAATTGACATTGCAGATGCTTTCGTTGTTTTGAGGTAAGTCCCTATTTTACAATTTATTTATTGCTTTGCATTATTGAGTGTTATATTGTTGGTTGCGCACCCGCATAATCACCTCGCATGTTAGTAGATAGGTTTAAAACAATCCAAGCTGCCTGCAAATATTTTTTTGAAATAAAAGAGAAAAGGTACCGGAATGGCATTAGAGTAATCTAGTGTAATCAAGTCTTCGAGTCCATAATCTCTAGTTCGTAGGAGTAAAGTAATTCTTCCGATACTTTACTTGGGTTTTTAATTGGCTCACCAAAAAAATAGATTAGTAACGACTCCTAATTGAAATTATTTGCATGTTAAGAACTTAAACCCTAAGTCACGAATTGGTAGGACTTAGGAGGTTCCGAATTAGGCTTAGACTTAATAATCCATTAGCTGAACCCCTAGGTAGTGCATCGTGGGAGGTTAGGTCACAACAACATTGAAAAACAACTTTAGTTTATTCAGTGTTTGGAAAAATCACACTTTGCAAAGCACTTTGACTTTTTTAAATAAAAAAAAAAACTCAAGACCAATGAAGAACTAGCGACCAGCAAGCCTCTAACGAGGCCAAATTTGGCTATAGCCAGATCTAGCGTCATCAACCTCCGTTGGGTCATGTGACCCAAGGCGGCCGTCGCCTAGGTTTGTGTGACCCAGGCCAAGTCGCCTGGTTTGTGGCCTGGGTTGCGCGACCCAAGCGACACCTGAGGTCACGGGACCTCAAGCCTTGGTGGTTGGGGTCGCGCGTTCCCCAAGCAATGGTCGCCAGGGTCACACAATCCCCCCAGCAGCTATCGCCGGCCTTTTGTCTAGTTACTCTGTGCAAACCACGGGGAAGATGAACAGTGCAAGATTGAAATAAAAAAATATTAAATCCAAGACTTGCATTACGAAAATGCAGCATTTTTAAAGTACCTTCGAACCAACTTTGGGCCAAAGGCCTTGAAAATGTAATTGCATGTCCCCAAAGCTCTCCAAAAATTTTGCCAAACACCATTTGTATTTGTCCTAGGGCCTTAAGGCTCCAAAGGTAGTCATGGCCACGGGCCGGTTTCGGCCGCGGCCGACCGCCCGATCAAACCATGGCCCGCCCGTTGACGGGTCCGCGGTTTGACGAACGGCCCGTGCCCTACGGGCCGTTCGTTCCAAATTTTGACCGGCCGGAACCGCCGGTTCAAAAAAAAAAAAAAAAAAAAGAAGAAGCTGCGAGATCGGTGAGGGTTCGACCTCGCCGGCGTCGGGCGAGCCGGCCTCGCCCCAGTGGGCGAGGTCGACCTCGCTCGACGCCGCGAGGTCGAGCCCTCGCCCGGCCCAGAGCGAGGCGGCCCTCGCCGCGTCGCCGAGGCGACCTCCGCCGGCCCGGCTATGGCCGCGGAGGAAGAAAAGAAAAAAAAAGGAAAAGAAAAAGAAAAAAACAGAAAAGAAAAATTATGAACCGGCCCAACCGGTTCCGAACCGAACCGGAACCGAACCGCCCGAACCGCCGGTTCATACTTGGTCACGAACGAACCGGTCGGTTCCGAACCGTGACCATGACTATCCAAAGGGCTTTGGCAAACCTAATGCACCACATCGGTTATGGCTTCTTTACGATTGTATTTGAGAATAATATTGCATTTATGAGATTCCCTCTACAAGTACACTTCATGCCCTAATGTTAAGGGGAAAGGGCGGGGATGGGTGACTGGTAATGGCGACCCCAAGGTGAAGATCCGAGATTAATTAAGTTACCTCGCCCCCGACTCAACCTCATGAACTTTTGGATGCACAAGGGCACGTTTACCACTGGGCCATCCTTGCCGGTGGTAAGTGGGGTTCAATTTTTGTTGAAGGGATAAAAGCTGCCAGCGTGGTTGCACACCACAAACCACAAAAATTACATGGCACGGTACATAAACCCGAGATACACCATATGCATCAAATAAGAATGGCTTAATATACAGTTAGGAAACAGATTTGTGTGTGCTTTAGGCCCTTTTTGAGAGTGCATGGAAATTGACCTCGCAAAGCCGCCGGGTTCGGGGCTGAGGATCGGGGATTTCACGCAGAGGGTCGACTTCGAGGGTCGGAGGACATATGCTTTCGTTGCGGTAGATGGGGGCATAGGACCGGTGGTGGATGCATGAGAAGCTGGACGGCGAAACAGAGTGCGGTCCGCAATCTGTTTTGTTTGATAGGCAAACATGTTTCCTTCAGATTGTCTATTATGTTGTCAATAGTTTATGTAGATGGGAAGCAAATCGCTGTGCAATAGAATAAGTGTGTAGTGATGGAGGAATCTTTTGCTGGGTCTTTCTTGATCCTCCTCTTGCCTTGCTGTACATTGTTTGGATTAGTGGAGGAATTGTTACCCAAAGGTTGTCAACTTTGGGCTGTATTTTCTGGTGTGATGTGCATGTACTGTGGTTTATCAAATAGTTTCGTGTTCTGTTTCCAGGGGAGTACAGCTAGCTCTGCTCTCTTTCACCAATTCGCCCGGTTTGCCCCAGGGCGAGGGCGTTCTCTCATTCACGCCTTAGGAAGCTGATGATGTGAGATCAATTTCTCAAACTGAGGTATGGGCAAGTCTATGCGCTAATCAGGTGGGTTTCTCGGTTTTACGTAGCGAATACGGTCCAATTGCTACAACTTCATCAAGGAGGGTGGTTCGGTCGCATTGTGGCTCTGCCTTCAACTTCAAAAGAAAGACATCAATGTGAAATGTCTCCCGAGTGATGACTACCGGCTTAAGTTCTTAAAACAAATAATTGCGTGTCCCTTCAGTTGATACAGGAACTGCATATTTTGTGTTCCTATACAAGTCTACGAGGTCATTTCGACGTTGATCGGCATGACATCAGTAACATTCTATGTCCTCTTAAATGCAGAGTGAAGTAATCGGTTTTCAATGTGGAAGTTAGAAATGGGAATTTTTGGGCACAACATTTTCTCATATCTGAGCTTCCTTCTGTTACAATTGACTGATATGACCTGAGCTTGAAATGCAGTAGCCGTTGCTTGGTGGACCTTCCGTACCTTGCTGAATACATGTCGGTTATTCCGGTAGCTCAATGCATGTTCTTCCAATTACATGAATCATGACAAGGCTATATAACTTGTGAATAAAGTTTTTCTCATAACTTAGCAACAAAACTTTATTCTAGCACCCATTCTTGAACGTGTGGATCTACAAAGGATAGTAATGAATCCATCTGCGAAACATCTCATAACATTCTCTGCGTTTGTACTCTGGAGGTGAGTGACCCGATCCCTGCATCAAAGGCATCAACAGAGGAACAAAAGTATTACGACACTGAAAACAACTCAAAAGAGAAGGAAGAGACGGCATTGAAGTCCAAGTTCTTACCTTCAATGTTGCATAAGTCAATCGATATCCGCTGTCTGTATACTTCCTCGTGTACCTATTAAAACATGGTGAAATTGGAAGCTCTTAAATCATCAAGGTCAAACAGAAGGGAGAATGAGAAGAAAGTTCAACTGAAAGCTCGCGATAGACCGAACTCTTTATGAGCTTACCCTGCAACTTGGCCATCCACAAACCACGGTCTCCAATCTATGTCCACCGTCAAATTGAGCCACTTGATCCACTCTTCGATACCGTTATGCGGAATAACCATGTCATGATCACCACTGCAAAGAAAGAATTACTCATCACCGGTCGAACGAAGTATTTTTTCTTTAGGTTGAATTTCACATTTGCCAAAGTTTTCCTACAATATTGTCAACATGGGTTTTGTTCGTTTTTACCTGAAAACTAGAAGTTGCATGCCCAGACTGGTGAGATTCTTATGATAATCGAGCACATTGTCGACATCTACAGTGTAGGCTAAGGAAATATTGCACCTGAAAAATTCACTGACGGTTCCCTACAAATTGACACGATGAAGATAAGACCATTCGGTTAGTTTTCTCAAGAGGGAACAAAATTGAATGAGAAATTCATGGCAAATGATGTACATACCGGTCGAACATGAAGAGCATCTTGCACACTTGGATAATTACCCCATATGTCGGCAAGTAGATAGTCAAAATTCTGCAACATTCAATGAAAGAATTAGAAAACAGATTTAGAGAGAATGAGAGCGAGAGAGAGAGAGAGCGACCTTGCACCAAAGATCGCGAGGTCTTGGTAGTGACACAAGATAATCCTTGGTGAACTCTTGGATGGACCTCCTGTGCTTCTCTTGGTTTGATATTGCTGATTTGAAAGCTTCTTTCGATTTCGGTGAAAGGAAAGCACAATCAGGTTCAAGAACATTTTGTTTGCTGATCAATTCAATTAGCTGGAAACAAGACAGAACGAACCAAACATCTCTGCTCAAACTTTATGTTCAATAAATCTCAAACCAAACAAGAGTTTGGTGAGAAAAAAATAACGAGTCTACTTCATAAGTATCCATTAGGGATGCACATTCTCTGACCTCGTCATACGCTGCCAGATCCTCTGTGCAGGTCACATTTGTTGAATCCACAAAATTCCCACCGCAATTTACTTCTAAAGCCTGATAATGAATGGATATAAGTTGATCATACCCAGGAATCACAACTGCTCAACTAGTCTTGCATCAATGAGTTCGCACATGACTTGTCATTCATTTACCTCATAAAGTGCATCTGAAACGAGGGCCAACCTATGAGCAAATGGAATTTTTGAGTTTGTTTCGAGATCGGTGAACGTGTGGGGACATGATAGTATCATTCCCTGAAAATGATTCAACAAAGAGAAGATCAGTATATCAACACAAGATACAGCTTATGTCAAATTTCTGGAAGGAAAAATTAAGATAACGATTAGGCTTTTTCCATACCTTAAGGTGGATATATGGTTTAAGTCCAGCTTCATTCCCTGCAAATTTGGCGCAAGATAGGAAAATGTAACTTCATAACCATCAATAGGTGTGAAAAGGCAATAACGTGTATTTTTATCCCATTCAATCAGGTTTATAGAAAAGAATGTATACCTTGCAGAATATCCGTAGCAAGCATGGGAGTGTATATACCAGCATAAGAATCGCTACCAATAAACACCGGATTGGTTTGGAAACTTGGATGTGCCGCCAACCACTGCACCGCATATATATATTAGCATTCATCTCACCCCCGGTTTTTCTTATGTTATGATACAACCACCACGATCTGTGAAGAATTTCACTCACTTTCCTTAAGAAGGTCTGCATCTGTGCAGTGTTCGATGTGTCTGTGGATTCATACGCCGATGCCGTCGTCGCATAGGAGAAACCCGCGCCGACTGGTGCATCTATGAATATAATGTTGGCTGTCTGATAATTTTGGAAGGGGAAAAAGTCAGTATGAACTCAATAAGTGGACAAGATTTACATTCAATGAGGTTCGGTAAATTGTTAAATAATCCTAAATCAAGGGAAAAATTTATTGCTTCTCACTTACCTTAGTCCACGCATCTGGCTCGTAGATTAATGTCGGCAAACCCCCAGTGTAATCAGTAATGTTGAACTTAAGCGGACCTGCATATCGCAGACATCAAAATACTTTATATTAACACCTACTTGAAGACATTTGCAGCATCATAATGAGGTAATGATGACATAATAGGAGGAATTATGAAGTGTAAGAAACTTACCGAGCTGGAACAAGAAGGCGTTCAAACCCGAACACCCGGGACCTCCATTCATGTAAAGCAGAAGAGGGTCCGCTCCAGGATTCCCGGTAGACTGCACAAAGTAGTAGAAGAACTCGACATCACCAACGCTTATGTACCTGCATCAACCAACATACCCAATCAAGATCACCGGAAAAGTCAAATCCATCCCTGCATTTTGAAATCATAAGTATAGTCACATTACTAATTCACCAAGTTTTCGACCCAAAAAAAAGAAAAAATTCTCCCAGCTTCAAGAGTGAGCAGAGCCAAACCGGGATAACCTGGTAATTACTTAGCAATCCAGCTAGAAAATGCAGAGCCAGAAAGATACATAAACAGAGAAAGAGAGAGAGAGAGAGAGAGAGAGAGAATGCAAAAGCAAGTGGAGTTGAGTTTGCTTGGACTGATGGAAGTCATTGCTAGAGAGTTCGTGCTGGCATTCCAATCTTGTTGGAAGGAGCCAAACATAGGTCGGCAAAATTCTTTGAAAGGTTGGTCAATTTGCAGTGGGTGTGAGTGTTGTTGTTATGGAAAGTTACGAGAACCTGATGACTAAAGTATTACGGGTAGAGAAAATTTTGGTGAAGCCGATGTATGTTGGATCAGCCCATCAAGATGAGTTGACTTATCTGCTCCTGTGCTCCAGGAATTTAGGTGGGCCTTCTCACCCTCTAAAGAATATGATTTTACTTGCGTGAAGGAAGAACTCTTATACAAAACATTTCCGACATTAGTGTATATGTACTAGAAGATTGAATGGGTTGTGATTCAACATCAAATCAATTTATCTGATATGTGATGAATTTGTGCACACCAATTATCAATAACTTCACCTGGTACGCAACATCATGAGAGTTATTTACACATTTAGTTCTTCCACATCATTTCTTGTGTCACTTTAATACTGTCGATTATATCTGTTGAACCATCACCCTTGAAAAGAAAAGTGTGTAATTTCGGCATTTACTTTACCGCGAGGTCAGAATTGTACTCAAAAATCTTCAATCAGTTTGTCTTCCAAGATTTGAAAGGAATGTACTGAACAGAAGGACTAACGGCATATAGCTTTCTAAAGTGGGGAGTCTGGACCGCGGAAGGACTAAATAGATGCAATTAGAAAATCAAGGACCCAGTTGAGATAAGTCATGAATTGCAGGGACCAACTGCGAAGTTCCCTTTAGCTGGCGTATCTTCATTTTTCAAAAAATTTCTGCAATCTCAGCGCCATCATGCATCACCAAATGCCAGAAACAAAGAAATGCTGGTGACAAAGCAATCACATGTTCCATGTACGGTGCCACTGGGGCACCGTGCCTCCGGTTGTAGACCATCCTAAATCGGCTCATTTTCGTCGCGGTCCAATACAAAGTGTTGCGAATCGCAACTGATGGAGGAACTCTAGTTTCAAATCATTGTCAAGAGAGAGAGAGATGACATGAAAGAATCCGAACTGACCCGGTTTCCAGCTTGAAAGGAAGTGGGCCAGGGAACCCAGGAAGTGTCTCCACAATGTACTGAGACGAAGCAGCTGAGGCAGACACCAGCACAAGCAAAATGCACACCCATTTCTTCTCAATGCCTTGGCTTCTTGAATTGAACATTGCCTTTTGCCTCGCCATTCTCTCTCTCTCTCTCTCTACTCTTTGCTGTCACTCTCTTGCCAATGACACCCCCCTAAAACAAGAGGGATAGAGGGGGTTTCAAACTAAGAATGAAGTGAGGAAAAAAGGAAATCTTAAATGGAGCGCATGGATGGGGGCAGCTCTATTCGCGTGTCCGTGGATTTTTCTTAAAGAACGTTAGGTGTGGGGCATGTGAGATGAACTGGTCTAACTCACTTTCAACTATCCATATCCTCTCGGTTTAGCCTGCATGAATGTTCAACCATATAATCATATCGTCCAATGTGTGTGGAGCTTTTCTAAGCAATATTTTGCATGCTCACGATACACACGAGCAAGAAGCATATCGGCCGTAGGGGAAAAGTGCCAAAAAAGTCCTAAACCTTTTGCATTAGTGCCAATTTAGTCATAAACCTTTTTTTGATGCCAATTCAGTCCTAAACCTTTTGCATTTGTGCCAATTTAGTCCTAAACCTTTTTTTGGTGCCAATTAAGTCCTAAACCTTTTAAATTGGTGCCAATTCAGTCATAAACCTTTTGTTTTTGTGTCAATTTAGTCCTTCCGGTCAATTTTGATCGGAATTTGCTTCAACGTGAACGCTGCGCCGGCCCAGTCACCGCGCTGAGGTGCCTGCGTGGACAACTTAAATAATATATTTAATATTTTTTGAATTTTTTTTCCTTTTTTTTTCTTTTTTTTCCACTTTTTTGTTTGATCCGCCCTCCTTCCAAGGCGAGGCTCGCCGGCCGGCGAGCTCGCCGCCGCCACCGGCCCGGCGGCGGCGACCATGGCTAGGCTCGCCTCGCCGTCGGGCGAGGCTCGCCTCGCCCATCCTGGCTAGGCTCGAGCCTGCCGCATGGCCTCGGGCGAGGCCCGAGCCTCGCCTTGGTCAGGCGAGGCTCAGCCCTCGCCGGAGGCCGCGGCGAGGTGAGCCTCGCCCCTCGACGGATCGGCGAGGGCGAGCCTAGCCATGGTCGGGCGAGGCTCGAGCCCTCGCCGGGCGAGGCCGCTGCCCTCGCCAGTGGCCGGTGAGTTCGAGCTCGCCGGCCTCTGGCCTCTGGCCGGTTGCCGGACCGGCGACCGGCCAGTTGGAAGTAGGGCGGACCAAAAAAAAAAGTGGAAAAAAAATAAAATAAAATAAAAAAGGAAAAAAATAAAAATTCAAAAAAATATTAAAATATTATTAAAGTTGTCCACGTCGGCGCCGATGACCGGCCGCCAGCCGGCAGGTGTCCACGTCAGCAAATTCCGGTCAAAATTGACCGGAATGACTAAATTGGCACAAAAACAAAAGGTTTAGGACTGAATTTGCACCAATTTAAAAGGTTTAGGACTTAATTAGCACCAAAAAAAGGTTTAGGACTAAATTGGCACCAATGCAAAAGGTTTAGGACTGAATTGGCACCAAAAAAAGGTTTAGGACTAAATTGGCATTAATGCAAAAGGTTTAGGACTTTTTTGGCACTTTTCCCTCGGCCGTAGTATCACGTGCCAGCATGATTGACCAGGTCCTTGTGCACCAGCTCGGTTCGATGATCTTTCGTGTTTTATGGGACTTCTGACGAAAATTATTCCAAGAAGAGTTTTGACGAGGGATGATTGTCCAAAAAGTCCTGAACGTTATTGTACGGTGGCCAATTCAGTCATAAACCTTTCAATTATGTCAATTTAGCCATAAATCTTCTTAAGTTTTGTCAATTCAATCCTAAACATATTATTTAGATAATTGGCCGAAAGAACTACACTAACAAATTGTCAAAAAATTTATGATTAAATTGTCAATTCGTCAAAATATTTAGAATTAAATTGGTATAATTTAAAGGTTTATGACTGAATTGGCCACGGTACAATAGGATAAGGACTTTTTGGATACTTTTCCCGTTTTGACAATGGTAAGAATGACCTCCGAGCTAATTTTACGTGCTTCATTACTAATTACGGAGAGTCCGGTCTCCTCGAACGCTCGATCGATCTCCCACCGGGGAGCAACAATCACCCGTCCCGAGCCGGCCGACTAATCGTTAGAGGATCTAATTCCGTCCTCCCTTGAGGCGATCCGAGAGAATTGCGCGAGGGTGGCAATTCAAACTCAGGTCTCGAGCCAAGAAAACAAGGTTCGATTGCCAGTCTCGGGTCATATCTGATGTGAATACATACTCTCATCAGTCCTACCGGTCTTTGCCATTATGTTGCATCCGTTCCACCGCTTCGTCGCCCGCGAGGTCCTTTTCCCTAATTTTTGTTTCTTTTAATTAATTATCATTCTATATTTTGTTATTTTTTTCCCCTCTTGAAATATAATAGTAACATTCCGACCACCAAAAACAAAATGTAATAATAACACAATGTGTCGGGGGCCCATTGGAAAATTTACATATTATTTTAAAACACGTGCTAGCTTTGAGAAATCCGACAGTCTATCTCCATATCGAACATTCCACCTAATTACACTGCAAATTTAAAACGTCGAATTAAGAGAGTGACTTTTATTTTTAATTTTTTTTTTCTTTTCTCGTAGCATTTGGAATATTTGATTTTTGGTATTAGTTTTACAACGAAAATCATTTAAAACGTATACAAGTTCGACATACATAAGGTGTCATCTAGAGTTTTTTTGTCCTAATTTCTCGAACCCTTGGTGGGTATCACATTTCATTTTGATATTTCAGAGGAACAACCAAAAGTACTTTTCTTAAACCAAATATCTAACGAGCCCTTTTAAAATCACTATCACCTCACGCGGTATATATATCTCGATTTTCAATTCAATTGATTCAAGATTTAACTCTAAATTATACCAACTTCTTTTCTTTCCCGCGGCGATACTCCATATATGGTTCACCACTAACAATTCCATATGAAATGCATCGTGTCAGCAATTTGACATATATTACTTGTCAAATTAGGTAGTTTCTTTTGTCTTTTTTATGATACATGCTACATTTTGAGAGTGCATTGAATGCATAGAATTTTTGTCTTTACGTTTGAATATGATATGCATTGAGAACAATAATGTATCTCCATATTATTTTATTAAGAAATTAAAGCATGGTGGCCAAAATGTGCCACCTAAGTTTTTTGAGGTGATGGCAAATTACCTAACGATATTTTGGTTTTTAAACTTGAGCCGAGCATAATTCAGTTCAAATCGCCATAATATGGTTTGGAGAGGTAATTTAAAAATTTCGTGCACCGCACCAAATTGAAATTTAGTAGTTTGTTTCGGGGTTGATTTTTTTTCCCAGACCAAACTAAACTACAAATTGAATTAATCCTTGTATAGTATAATTCGAAATTTTTATTTTTATAGTAGGGGAGAGATAAGTAGGTGAGGAAAAACAAAGAAAGGGAGAGAGGGAAAGAATCCAAAAAGGGAAGAAGAAAACTGAAAGAAAGAGACGCGGGTAGGTGAGAAAAACCATATTATTGCAGTGCCTTTCGATTTTTCATTCAAACCGAACCTAACCGAACGGAATCATGCTCGCACCAAGGCAACACGACAGGGTTTCTGCTGACCGATAGCGGCATCGTTGCTTTGCCGCCGAGCATCCACATTCTCTGCCCTTCTCTCAATTTGGTTTCTTCTTTTTTTCATTTTAATTTCCTTTCCTAAAATGCATTATGATATTTTATCATATTTGACTTTACAATTAATCATTCTTACCCTCAACATACTATACTTTTTTTATGACCGGTTTGTCCTCAAATAACCAGAAAGGCAGTCTGTACTCTGACGGGGCAACTTACGATCCCAAAGATATAACGGAAATTTTGGGGCACATCGCAACTTATTTCAAGATGATAGGGGGAAACTTAAAATATAACGGAAATTTCGGGGGTAACTTACAATCCCAAAAACTTGGGGGACACAATGTAAAATGCGCCTTTGCATAAACTTGACATTTGGATCGTTCTTGAAATCATCTTTGCAATGTGTGTTATTTCAATTATAAGTGTCCGTGTCTAGAATTCGTTTTAATCATGCAATTCGGCTCGATTCTCGATTTTCCATCCCTAAGCTTGATATATCGACTTGACCATATTCTTATCTCAATTTGACATTTACAATTTCACATGGTTGAATGAGTTTTATTTCTTCAACAACAAAGTTAAGCTGCTTGTTGGAATTTAGAAGAGCAAGGCGAATCGACAATACTGCCTTAAAGACAATGATTTCCTCGACGGAATTCAGGATCCAATGCAATTAGCTCCGATGAAGATCCTGTCCACAGGATATAATGCCCAGACTATAAGGTAGATTGCTAAATTTATGAACCGCAGTAAGCTAACTAATGGATAAGAATTAAGAGACAAGATAACTACTAAAAATTTAAAGCTCTCGGTAAAAAATAAATCAAATTAAGCAATAATTCTTTAAAAAAAAATCGACAAAGACAGCAATTGAGTTTAGGTAGGCTGATAGATGACTGAAGATTTACGAGATAATTACCAATACAGTTCTAAACTTATTGTACTGATACCAATTCAGTTATAAACTTTTTAATTTTGTCAATGTAATTCTCAATTTTTTCACAAAATTTCAATGTAGTCCTACCATCCAATTGTCTCTGGAAGTCATTGATGTGGCGTCCAATCATCGTTGGCCATCCTATATGGCACGCTGATATGGCAATCCCCAAGTTATCCACTCAGCGTGCATGTAGGATGATTAGCAATGACTAGACATCACTTCAGCGATTTCTAGTGAAAATTGGCCAAAGAGATTATATTGGAATTTCACGTGAAGGTTTAGGATTACATTGACAAAATTGGAAACTTTAGGACCGATTTAATAATTTTCCCGAAGGTTAGGCATCGGGACAATTGATATGAATTTTCAAGTTTAATATGACCTCTTAGAACAATACACCTCATGATTGGAATACATGCTTTGCATTCGGTCTTGATTATAAAGAATTAGCCACGAGAACCATATGATAAAAAACAACGCTACTTACCATAATATAAAATCCATAAATTTTGATAGTTACACCAAACAAAACTTGTCTCCTTCTCCTCCTCCTCCTCCTCCTCCGTTCAAGAATCCGAAGGTTAGGTTCAGCTGGCGGATTGAACCGCCGGTGACTCCCCCCCACCTTC